GCCTTGAAGGTAAAGCATTCGGGCAGAGGGAATGGCGCAAGCAGAGCCAACACAGCCTGGCTTATTTCAGGGACTATTTTCAGGTAACTTATTTCCGGTAACTTTTACCAATATGACTAAAGCATAAGGAGGAACACTGATGGAAGATGATGGTGGAAAAGTAATCATGGCCAGATCATAAGAGACATCAGCAATGCCTCATTTCCCCGAAGATTATCAGGGAATGAGCATAAGGCTTCGAGTCTAATAGCTGTGGGTGGAAACTCAACCCAATCACTTTGTTAGTGGTTCTCTCTGAACCTCCATTTCCTCAACTGTAAGACAAAGAACATACAAATATCTACTTTATAAAATAGCTATGGGAACAAACGTAACTAATACAAGCACTAAGAGCTGGACCTGGTACATGTCATGAGTCCAAGCAATGTTAATGACTTACTTTTGTTATTGCATTATTGCTGGTGGAGTTTTTTCACATGTGTAAATCTGCAGCATAATGGTAGCTTATTTTCGTAAGCACCACATTAAACCAGCTTTTTCCTAAACTACTTTTACAGTGAATTCCACAAATTCCCCACTTAACAAACATAAAACTTACATCCCATATACACAGATGGCTGCACCGCTCCCCTCCCCGCACCCAGTGCCCTTCTGCAGCCACCAGGGCAGCTGTGGAAACACCCGAAGCTTCTGGTAACCACAGATTTAAAATAGGGACAGAAAGGAAGCTACATAAAGCTAGAACTGCTTAGAGGAGTGTTTTTCGTTCAGAATTTAGAAAGGGAAAGAGAAACAGGACTACTTAGACTGATGGCCCCCAGCCAGTGAACAGACAGGATGCTCACAGCACTCCGGTGTTATCCCCTTTCTCCAGATCCACCAGGAACAGTGATGTGCCACCTCTGCTGATGTCGACACATGGCCAGTGCCCTTGGATACTTGATGTCTGTTCATTTCTCATGAGCTGCACCTTAAGCCCATTCAGAGCTTGTGACCTGGTGTCCACCTGCCTCCCAGTGTGCTTACTGCTGTGCTCGCTGTGGGCGACTTAAGATCTTTCCCACAGGAAGCACACCAGACACTTGCCCACCTCCCTGTCTTGGCTGTTGCTGTCCTGTCTGCCTGGAACATCCTTTGCACTCCCCTCTCACTACTCCCCCATCTTACCATCCTTCAAGGCTGAGTACAAATACCACCTCCTCTCCAACTTCCCTCCTTCCCCAGAATCAAGTGCCACGTTCTATGAATCTCCCCAGCCCTTTGTTTGTGGTTCAGTTGTTTAAGGGCCACATATTAAACAGAGGTACGAGGCAAGCATCCTTTTAAATGCTATCTGTACGCTACCATATGATTTTCACTATAAACCTGTAAAAAATGATTACCAACCCCATTTTACAAATGGGGAAGGTGAAGCTCTGAGAGTCGAACTTGCCAATGGTCACACAACCAGAAAGGGAACTCCAACCATGTACTGACAGTTCTCCAATTCCTAAGTTTTTCACTCTGTTGTGCTGCCTCTCTTTAATGGCCCTGTTGCCAGGTGGTTAGTTGATTACATACATATACACTTGTCACAGGGACCAGGGCATAGTCATCTTTGTAAACGCGGATAACAAGGTACCCATACAACGTTCTTAGAAGAATTAAATCAGACAGTACATTTAAAACACTTAGCATAGTGCCATGCACATAACAAGAGCCTATTAATTTGTTGGTTTTGTTGCTGCTACCATGTCAGGTGCCTTGCACATAAACCGTGAACAGGAGTTTATTTCTGAGGAACAACCAAAATGGGGAAGGACCTGACGGAAGAGACAAATGCCACTTTGGTTTGGCATTTCCTTGTACTACGTGATTACTCAATTAGAAGGAGCAAGAGTTTTATAATAATTTTAAGTTTCTATGATAGGGTGAATTGACTTCTTTATCTTTCTTAGACTATGTGGGTGATAGGGAAACTTCCTATTTAGCAAAACTCTTGCAACTTTGTTACTTTCTTGCTGCCCACCCCCTCACCCCCCCAAGCAATCTGTCAAAACTCCCCTCTGAGAAGTCAGCACTTAAGTTCTAAGGTTGGAGAAGAAGAAAATCACAGAAGTAAAAGGAAGCACTGAGGGCAAAACGGAATCTGAAATTCTGATGCTTATAAACCTAGTGAAACACTTTCTCTTGTCCTCACAGGATTTTACAAGACTTTAAACCATCACATTTCCTTACTCATAGGTTTTTGTCAGTCGCGCCCTAGGAGGAGGTAAGCTGTCTCAGAGGAAGCAATCCATGCATCCTGTTTACTGCTATCCCCCAGGGCCTAACTCATACCTGGTACATTGTAGTCACTCATTAAATATGGGTTGACTGACTGGCTGCAATTATTTGTATGTATGTATATATGAATATACATATATTTATACATATACATACATCATTCCGTGGTTTATGGATAAATGTGTATACATCCCCACACGTAAGTGCATATAGTACATTTATGTATGTGTGTTTGTATTTGTGGATAAGATATTTCAGACTGGCAAACACAAATACCTGTTTGCCAAAGTTGTGTCTCCTTAACACAATAAAGGCCTCTGGCTGACCTAATAGCTAACGATCATACTCTGTTACCCACATACTAACAATCTAGATGTTAAAAAACAATTAAACATGCAGAGTAAAAAAAAAAAGTTTTGACTTAACAAACCATGACACTCTGACTATCTTTTAAAATCCTCAACAAACCATGATACTTTGACTATCTTTTAAAATCCTCGTCCCTGTTCATTAGCTTCAGTGGGGAGGCGTGCGGACGGGCGAATTTGAACCACTAATGATTCGCTGCAAATCTGGCAAGTGAAACATTCCAAATTCCTATGGCCTGGTCAAATGTCCTTATTAAAGTTGTAACGTATATTAACTTATCATTTACACTGTCTAACAATTAGAATGACACCGCTGACTAGTTATATGTGCCAGACACTTGGCATCAGTTTTTTTATCTAAACTTTGCACCAACCCTACAAGGTAGATGCTATTATCTCTATCTATACATAAGGAAACTCAGACTCAAAGAGATAGAGTAACTTGCCAAAGATCCTCTGCTGTTTCCGTAGTCATGGCACGGTCAGTCTAAAAATTCAGGATTCTCCTCCAAAGCCCAAACTCTTTTCCATGCGCAATGGTGCCACTTACACAGTCTTACGGACACTAACTTTGAGGGGTATGTGTTTAGGCAGTTTGGGGATTTTCATAAGTATTTCTCTGCACGGAGAGACTAGACCAAATGCCAGCCAAGCACACTGAAGACTACCCCCAGGCTATAGACAACAAGAGGCAAGTGTGTCTCAGAAACAACCAGCCTGGGCTTCTCAGAATGTGAAGCATTTTCCACTCAATTATGTCCTGCAAAAGAAATCTATTCTCTAAAAGAGCTTCATTATTGCTCCTCCTATAAAAAAAAAAAATGTACTCTTTCATTGCAAACCAATGGGAAGCTCTTAACTCATTTCCTTACATTACTTGAAATGAAAGTGCCTTCTGTCTCTAGAGAAAAGAATGGCTGCACGCTATGCCTTTTGAGTAGAACAATCAATACCATGAAGGTAAGAGAAAATTAGCTCTTATATACTTTTAAGTGGAGTGGGGTTATTTTTAAACTTAATGATAGCAGAATTCTAAACAGAGAGACAGAAGGAACGTCTTCCCTCGCAGTTTAAAGGCGAATTCAGCTGCCTTTCCCTGCAAGCTTTGGCTATTATCTCTTTGACCTTTCCAAGAGCAGGCCTGAGAAAGGGAAGGAAACCATATATTTTAAAAGTCTGTTTTTTTAATTTACAGATATTTCTGAACACTTGTAACTAACAGTAGTGAAGTTGGCTCTCACCTGGCCATATACGGCTTGGAAAGATCCTATGCAGAGCAAAGGAAAGCACTCCGTACCCCCTCTGCACCTCCAGACCACAACCATCACAGGAAGCGCCACCACAGCATCTTCAGCTGAAGGGACTGAAGATGAAAGGGGCTCCTGACAGTGGGAGAAGCACCAGGGTACCCCTTCAGCACGAGCAGGAAGGCAAAGAAGCGGAAGCAGCTTTGCCTCACCTCCAATCTTACCGCACGACCCCTGCTGCCAAGAACTCATCTTTAGACCCTTAAACTGAAATTCCCAGAAAAGAAGGGAAACTACAACCTCTGAGTGATGCTCAGAGGTTGATTTCCAACCTGGTTTTGGCTTTTTTGTTTGTTTTCTGATTTCAAGTCCCCACCTGAAGTCCCAGCCTCCAGAAGGCATCCACTGTAAGCCAAGCAAAAGAGCTGGGAGCTTTAGAGCTTTATGTGACCAAAATCCCAGCTCCGACCCTGCAAAGGTACATGACCTTGGGGAAGTAACTTCTCCTCTGAAGATTCAGTTTGTGGTTGGTAAGATGGGGATATTAATATCTGTTATTAGAAAGTCGGTGAAACTCCAGTAAAAATCACTCAGTCCCCGGCTCTTTAGGAGGGCATCAGTAAGTGCCTTGCGTTTGTTAGGGGCATACTGCACAAAGCAGCGGGAGCCAGGCTGGATGTCCATGTTTTCACTGCCCATGACTCCCTCATTAGTGACTTATGTTACCAACCATGCACCAAACCCCAGGAAGACGCCTGGTACCTGCTTCTAGTTCTCTACAGCAGAGCCCGAGACAAATTCTCATTAAGTTCAAGGGACAAAGTTAGCCTAGATTCTTCTTCCCACCGGTTATCGGCAAATCGTTGAATACAACTCAGGCTTGGGAAGAAATGCATACAGACTTTCCACGGCCAAAGCAGGTGTCTGCACATCTCCCGGGGTAAGGTCTGGGGAAGGGCCCCTGACTAATGTCTCCAGGTTGGGAACGACAAAGAAAGGGAATAGGACAAGAAGGACGGGATGAAAGGGCCTCTGCAAGGCGGTCCTCGCCGGTGACCCTGTCCTCGGCGTCCCGGGAAGAAAGGACACGAGCTGGGTGGAGCCGCGAGAGCAGGAGTACCTGAAGACTCTGGCCGCCGTCTGGTTCCTCCTCCACGCCGTGCCCTGTTGCAGCACCCCCTGCACAATCTCCTTCTCGTTGGGCAGTCGGTAGACGGGAAAGATGTAGAGCCAACAGAGAACCACGACGCAGAGGGCACTGGCTCCCACGGGCAGCCGGGTCCGCGGGAACTTCCACGCCAGGACGGCCATGGCCCCTCTGGACGTGTGTCGCCGGGCCCGCCCGCAGGGGCTCATCGCAGCCCCCGGGTCCCAGGGTGGCGGTCGAGGGCCGGAGCCTCAGCACTAGGCTAGGCGCAGGGGCAGCGGAGGATCCCCCCACCGCCGGCCCCCCATGCACACACACCTTTCGCTTTCGTGCTCGCACTCGCACGCACGCTCCTTCGGCGCCCACAGCTTCAAAGGTCGGCGCAAGGATTTTTTCCAATGCAACTTTTTCGAGGATTTCTTTCTAGGGGAAGTGCCCCGGAAGCAAGTCACGAGCTACAGCCATGGTCGCTCCCCCTGAAGAAGGCGGGCGCCGGGGTCTCCGAGAGCGCGGGGAGCGGCGGCGGCGAGTCGCTCCCGCCGGTTCTGCAGCGTTACCGTCGCCCTCGGCGTGGGGCCGGGGAGAGTCTCAGCTCCCTCGCAGACATCTGGTCCGCGGCGCCCCCTTCTGAGCGATGCTCCTGCGCCCTTCGCCGCCTCTCCCCGCCTCCCGCGCTACTGCGCTGCCAGGCCCCCCCCCCCCCCCAGACGCGCTCCCCGCGCCGCGCCAAGTCCTTGGAAATTTCCACGGCGGCCCGGGACCGCTAGCCCGCCCCGGGCTTCTCCGCCTCCCCCGCCAGGACCCCTGCTTCCCACCCCTCCCGGAGAAGAAAAGAACTCGCTTTCATCAGTTAATTCAGCGACGCGCCGCAGCCTTCCGCGGCGCCCGGGACTTCGCAGACAAACGCCCGGGGATTGGTGGAAATCAAGGTCTCCCCTCCCTCCCCCACCCGCGAAATTGCCTCCTTCGACCCGTTCAGATGCGCGACGCTCGGCTGGAGAGCGCGCCCCTTTCTCCCGCCCTGGTCCCCCGGAGACAGAGGCAAACAATACAATAATGATAATAACCCTCCCCTAAAATGTGTATACACAAATCCCTGAGTGTGGCCGAGACTGGCTGAAAGCCTGACCCTCCGACACGCAGCCGGCGCGCCGGGGCTGTCACCCTGCCGCCGTCACCCTCGGCTCTCTCTAACTGGTTGGTTATTAACCCGCAGTGAGGCGCGAGGAGGCCGGCGGAGATTGATTCCTTCCTGGGCCCCCACCCCCATTCCCCGGTCCCGGAGCCGCGACTCCAGCGACACCCGTGCGCGCGCGCGCTCGCGGGCACACACGCAGACACACACGGGCACACACGCTTGCGGGCCCGCACGCGCGCGCACGAGGAGGTGCGTGCACACCGGGGTTCTCCGCCTCGCCTCCGCCCTGCAGGGAAAGGCGCTGCTGCATCCAGATGTGCAGGCAGCTGGTGGCCCAGCAAACAGACCTCGGGACGTGACAATGCCTTGGAGGCGCTGTCGCCTCCTCTGCCTTTTAGATGCAAGGGCCGTTTGTTCTTCGACGTCCTTCTCTCTCCACCGACCAGCTTATCTCAACCCCGACCTTGGAAAAGCGCCACCCGCCTGGACCGGCCGAGCCCAGGGACACACAGTTAGCCATTTCTGCTACCCCGGAGACCGGCGAATAGCTCGGCTACCTCCTAGCGGTTGCCTAGTCTATTTGCTTAAGCGTCTCGTCAAGCATGATGAGTGCAGGGACAAAGAAATCCAGCAGCCTACTAACCAGGTCGCCTTCGTCATCACGAAACCAAAATTTAGGGCCATAACTTCAGTTGCTCAGCCGACCAAGCTGCAGCTCCCTCGGACCTACAGTGAGTTTTATGTGGCCTGGTGCATCTTTCTCCACTGAGAGATGGGACTTGAGAAGTTGATGGAAAGTTATTTACCAAAAAAGACCACCAAAGTCTCATTCCTCCCTCTTAGGAGAACGGCCCACTGCCCTCCGGCCTGCAAGCATGCCCCAGGAATCCCTCCTACTTGGGTGAATCAGGGGAGATGAGAAAGCATAAAATCCCAAAGTTACATCCTATACAGTGGAGCTTAATTGAGATTCTTTGAAATAATGATTACCTGCAAAGTAGTCCTGCAAAGTACCCAAACCACCTTTTTCTGTTCTGGGAAGAGGATTGTTAGGGGCCGGGGGTGGGGGAGTGGGGGGGGGGGGTGCAAGAGGCCAGGGAAATCTTTCCCATAGTTGCCAGGCTGTGGATAAATCATCTACCTCCTTTGTTCCAGTCATTTAAATAGAACACAAACTATCTAATTTCTCTTTTCTTCCCCTAGTCCAAGGGGTACTCCTGTCCCAGTCCAAGAGATACAAATAAATAAGACAACAACCAAAAATATTGCAGTTAGGAAGGGGTTATATAAATGTTTCCCCATCGAATGTCATAAAAAAATGCAGCAAAGTTGTGCCTTAAACCAAGGGTTTTCTGTGATGCAATGTGCTGTTTTTCCTTCTTCTGAAAACTAAGATTCTCTTACCCTTGTTGACTCCTGCCCTACCCTACAATCCAACTTCATTCCCTGCTTCTCTGGAGCATGAACATCGAATCCAGTCAGACCGTTGCCCTTCCCCTTCCAAGTCACACAGGCATCGCTTTTGTCACTGTGTTTTGTGGTCCACGTTCTTCTTTCATGAGATACCTTTTTTCTGCCTCCATACAAATCCAGCACATGATTCAAGGCCAAACCCAGTGGCTAGGAATTTCTCCCTGCATGTGTTCCCAGACCACCTAAAACATAGGCTTTATAGGTAGGAACTCAGTAAATGTTTCTGGTTTCTGCTGCTATTCCCTTTGACCTCCTGATCTGAATGTCTATAGTATTTGCTGGCTCTGACAGTTGATTAAACACTTAGATGTGCAGTGCTATGTTGCTAGCATTTTTTACATGTAGCTTTGCCTCAGCAACGGGGCAGTAAGAGTATTTGGTCTCATATGTCAAATGACAAGCCTGTGCTTTTGATCCAACAGAGGACTCCACATGACATGCCTCCATGTCTTGGGGAAGAGCAGGAACAACATTTTATGTTTTTTTCATATTCCTCCAGGTACAATCTCAGGCTAGAGTACATACGTACTCAACAAACAATTGTTGCTTGGTTGTTTGCTTGAGAATTTGAGCGTCTCAAATTTATTTGGGCTGTTGCTCAGGCAGCACTGCTAAGGACATGTATAAACCCCCATGTTTAATGTTTTAAATAAAATATGTTACCTGATATTTAGCTCTCTGGTTTATACAACTTTTAGTAGGTAGTTTAGGTATTGTTTTATAGTTCTGCATCTGGGTACACAAGCAGGATTTGCTCTATAAATGTCTTTTGCCGGACCAGTCAACGTGATGCGCAAGACTACTTGATACCATAAGTAAATTTGATGGGCAGCACTTTTGTGACATCAGAGTTGTGGGGAAAGCTCATGTAAGACATGAAGCCACCACAGAACTGAAGCTTTGGAAAAGAAAGGAAAAGGAGACCCTCACACTGAAAAGTTGAGAGAAACCAAGATGCAGGGAGATGATCAGAGTGAATGGGTCACACGCAATTTACAAGCTAGCTAGGATGCTGACAGTGTGTAGACAAATATTAATAGTCACGTAGAAGTTTCTCATTAGAAGGCTAAAGAGAATTGTCAATGAGCTGAGATTCAAAAGTATCACCCTTTCTTCAGTCTCCTCTCAAGTTCTTGTTGTCAGAATGACTTGGAATTGAAAGATGAAAGCAAAAACCATGCCCTTTTCACAACCAGTTACAATACTAAAGCAAATAAGGTTGTAAAATGAGAAAGATTCTGAATATAGATTATCTGAATAAATGCATTTGCTTATCTCCACTCCCTCTTATGACCCCACTTAAAGGACAGTAAAGGAATAAAAGAGGCGTAAACTCAAAAGAACAAGAGAAAAGGAAAGCACGCATAAGCAGGCAAGTTATGTCAAAAAGTGCACAAGCAGGTAAGTAGCTGAAGAGTGATAACTGATTGATCAGAATGGAGAAACCCCTGGGCCTTCAGGTGATATTGTGTGTTTGTGCGTGTGTGTGTGTGCGCGCACTCGCACAGGATGGGGGAGTATAAATTGAAGCCAACAAGAATCAAGCTAATTTGCACTATGGAGCTCTCGAAAGGCTCAGAATTTAGAAGCATCTGGTTCCTCTGAAGATGGAGGTGATGGATGAAAGAAAATAAGAGGTTTTTCTGAAAGTCTTTAGAAGGAACAGTGATATCTCTAAGAACAGTGTTATCCTCTAGCCTGACTTAACATATGAGATTACCTCTCTAGAGAGACTGACCAGCACAAAGGAGAAAACCTACAGATTGTGATATATGCAGGAGGTCTCCATCCAAACAGCCATATCCCTGCATCACACCCTATGGTGAAGCCCATCAGTGATAAGTTGTACTCACACAGACCCACTGGCCTCTTTGTTAGGCCTCAGTCTTAAATAAGAGTGGGGAGTCAAGGATCCCAGGCAGTTGAAGAGCCTTCAACATGAAAGCAAAGAAAAAACAAGCAAACAAAAAATTGCAAAAAAATAAACCCAGACGGGGAAAGAATAATGCAGAAAACATAAGGTATCTTGAATAAAAATTATAATGAGGAGATTGGTTCAACATGGCAGAGTACAAGGATGGGCTCTCACTCCCTCTTGCAAGAGCACTGCATCACAACTAACTGCTGAACAATCATGGACTGAAAGAAACTGGAGCTCACCACAGAAGATACCCCACATCCAAAGACAAAGCAGAAGCCACAGTGAGATAAACCCACGCACTTATGGTCAACTAATCTATGACAAAGGAGGCAAGGATATACAATGGAGAAAAGACAGTCTCTTCAGTAAGTGGTGCTGGGAAAACTGGACAGCTACATGTAGAAGAATGAAATTAGAACACTCCCTGACACCATACACAAAAATAAACTCAAAATGGATTAAAGGCCTAAATGTAAGGCCAGACACTATAAAACTCTTAGAGGAAAACATAGGAAGAACAGTCTTTGACATAAAAGACAGCAAGACCTTTTTTGATCCACCCCCTAGAGTAATGGAAATAAAAACAAAAATGAACAAATGGGACCTAATGAAACTTCAAAGCTTTTTCACAGCAAAGGAAACCATAAACAAGACGAAAAGACAACCCTCAGAATGGGAGAAAATATTTGTAAATGAAGCAACGGACAAAGGATTAATCTACAAAATATATAAACAGCTCATGCAGCTCAATATTAAAAAAAAAAACAACCCAATCCAAAATTGGGCAGAAGACCTAAATAGACATTTCTCCAAAGAAGATATACAGATTGCCAACAAACACATGAAAGGATGCTCAACATCACTAATCATTAGAGAAATGCAAATCAAAACTACAGTGAGGTAGCACCTCACACCAGTCAGAATGGCCATCATCAAAAAATCTACAAACAATAAATGTTGGCGAGGTGTGGAGAAAAGGGAACCCTCTTGCACTGTTGGTGGCAATATAAATTGATACAGCCACTATGGAGAACAGTATGGAGGTTCCTTAAAAAAAATAAAAATAGAACTACCAAACGACCCAGCAATCCCACTACTGGGAATATACCCTGAGAAAACCATAATTCAAAAAGAGTCATGTACCACAATGTTCATTGCAGCTCTATTTACAATAGCCAGGACATGGAAGCAACCTAAGTGTCCAACGACAGATGAATGGATAAAGAAGATGTGGCACATATATACAATGGAATATTACTCAGCCATAAAAAGAAACAAAATTGAGTTATTTGTAGTGAGGTGGATGGACCTAGAGTCTGTCATACAAAGTGAAGTAAGTCAGAAAGAGAAAAACGTATACCATATGCTAACACATATATATGGAATCTAAAAAATAAAAAAAGTTATGAAGAACCTAGGGGCAGGACAGGAATAAAGACGCAGATGCAGAGAATGGACTTGAGGACACAGGGAGGGGGAAGGGTAAGCTGGGACGAAGTGAGAGAGTGGCATGGACTTATATATACTACCAAATGTAAAATAGATAGCTAGTGGGAAGGAGCTGCATAGCACAGGGAGATCAGCTCGGTGCTTGGTGACCACCTAGAGGGGTGGGCTAGGGACGGTGGGAGGAGACACAAGAGGGAGGAGATATGGGTATATATGTATACATATAGCTGATTCACTTTGTTATAAATCAGAAACTAAC